TGCCGGCCTCACTTCTGACCCCAGCTAATTTTTTTTCTTAAGGCCAGTTTTTTCTAGGGACAACTTTTATCTGTACCGGTTTTATCGAGGATCCGTGTCAAAGATTCTATTGTTTGCCCATTTTGTACCATTTTAGATAGCTTATTCTGATAATAAAAGGCTTTAGCATAACATTTATCTGCATGTAAATTACATAAGCTATACTTAGAAGCAGTCGGTTTACCACATTCTAAACAGGGGATGCATTGACGCCTTTTCCAATGAATAGCACATCCTTCTTGCCGATAGCAAGGCTGTCCACAGATCTCCCCTCATTGGTAGGATACTGACAAATATAAGTTCCTGTTATCGATTATTATTTATTGAAACTTACTTGATTCTGTATAATATTATCTTAGGCAAGAATATTTAATAATTATTTTCGATTTAAACTTTTTTATCAGGATAATATATTACAAAAATAACCTAACTTTACCAACCATGTATACCCAAGAAAACATCGATCACGCGCCAGCAGAGTCAGAAGCACCACCTTCTCGACCAGAGAGCCCAGAAATAGTGGAAGAAAATAACAGAGCCTTCTATCACCGGGGGGCCAAAGCCGAGAGTGTGGCTGAATATATGTATAAAATTCGTGATGATAGTGTAAAACCAAGACAATTTCTCGGTACAGATACTGAAGATGGAATAGAAGCTATATTTAGTAAACGGCAAGGACATTCATTACACGAATTTATTGATGGTGATGACCCACTTCGGCCCTTTATAGATTTTGATTTATCTAAAGAAAAATTTGATAAAATTAAACCCAAGCTTAAGCTTACAGCTAAAGAAATACGGGATTTACTTTATCATGCCTTTAAAGAAGTATGCCTAGAAATATATTCAGATTGGAATCGCAAAACATTAACTATTGCCAGTAGTAGTGATGAGAAAAAAATGTCTCTCCATATATCAACTTTTGGTCTCTGACTCAAAAATATTGCTAAAGTTGCAGTATTTACTGAGCTCGTTCGCAAAAAGCTTCCAATAGATTTACAAGAAAAAGATATTGTCGATAACATCGCTAACAAAAGCTCATTTTCTTTACGAATGCTTAATACCCCGAAGGTAATCGAAATAAAATGTAATGAAAGCAGTAAAAAATCGTATAAGCATATCCGTCCAAAGAGAGCAATATTTCCAAAAGATAGTTCTGTCTTTGATTTTATGCTTCGCCCACCTAATGACGAGGCACCAGTTATAGATAGTCCTATTTTAAATAGTTTAAAGTCAGATGTAAACAATTTTCCTATATCCATCCCAGGATTGAATATTAATATAGAAAATTCTTTCATATCTGTCTCAGAGTTAATTAGAATATGTAATAATAGTATAGAAAGCAGTGAGACTGAGCTCCAATTAGTAAAGGAGTTACTGGAACATGCTAATATTTCAGGATATGAGGTATCATACCCTACAGAAAATTATCCTAACACCTTTTATCTTAAACGCATAACACCTTCGAATTGTCCATTATGTAAACGGGAAGATAAAAAACAAAATGATCACATACATGAGAATGACAATGCATATATTATTCGAAATAAGAAATCATATAGCTTCTATTGTTATCGTGCAAATGATAAGAGAGATCTTGGAACAAGAAAACCTTCAATAAAACTTACTATTAATGAATTAGCCAAGGATCGAGAAAACAAATTTTTAATCCCCCCAAAACTAGAAAAATCCAGAATTTCTGATCCGAACGATAATTTTGTATGGGGAAACTTGCTAGATATGTGTATATCCGAACAAAGATATACGCGCAAAGAGGTGTATGAAGCAATTCAAGCAACAGTTGCATGTGTTCAAACAACTTCAAAATTGTGGTTATTTAAAATGGAAGATTCAGATAATGGTCTTTATTTTGATATGACATCCAAACTAGATCTTGCAAATTACGAAATTAGTATAACTGAACATGGGGGAGAATTAGTAGACTTAAAAACACTAATAAATCGGGCAGTTACAAAAGGTCTGATTCTTTATAGTAATATTGATTTTCTACCATATTCTCCAAACACCTCTCTATTGAATACTAAATTCTTTAATCTTTTTCTAAGATTCAAAGTTCGACCATCAACTAAAATTAATTCTGCTCTTATTGATCCGATCATTTGGCATATAGAAAATGTTTGGTGTAATGAGGATAAAAATCTCTCTGAGTATGTTATTAACTGGTTGGCTTATCTTGTACAATACCCAGAAAAAAAATCTGGAACTGTTTTAGTACTAAGATCCCACCCCATTCAGGAAAAAACATCTTAACTGATTTTATCGGCAAGGAAGTCTTAGGACCGGAATTATTCTTTGCATCCTCAGATCTCGGGAAAATATTGGAGAGATTCAATAGCTGTATCCAAGCTAGAAAGCTTATCCTTTTAAATGAAACGGGAATGGTATCAGGAGAATAGCAAAAGGCTAATGACCACCTAAAATCTCTTATTACTGAGTCATATATAACTATTGAGCGTAAGGGAATTGAGCCCAAAACAATCAAAGATTTCACTGGATATATGGTCCTTAGTAATCATGATGCCCCACTTCGTGTTGAAATGGGTGATGGGCATATAGTATGCTTAGATGTATCTCCTAGATATAAGGGTAATATGGGATATTTTAAGCAACTTAGAAAAATTCTGGAACATCCTAATACACCTAATAATTTTATGAGCTACTTACTTAAACGAGATCTTTCAAATTGGATACCACAAGATATCCCTAATACTAAAATGAAAGTTGAAACAATGCGAGGTCACCTTCCCAACCCTATTCGATTCATAATTGATTATATTTCACTATGGTCTGAGAATCAGATTGATAAAGCAAGCTGTGCTACTTTATATCAAGATTATCTTACTTGTTGTAGAAGTAATAGAGAAAAACCATCCACTAGTAATGTTCTTGGAAAAAAAATCTCGCAAATAGGTATTGATCGTACATGTTCACGCGATGGTGGAGTAAGAGTATATCAGTACATTCTCGATCAATCTAAAATCGTAAGCAAACTATGTGAAAAGGGTATTGATATAGAAGAATTTTCTGACACACCTCAAGGCGAGATATCCTCCAACACGTCCACAGATATCCCTATATTTAACGTATCCGAAATTGTAGACCCAAAGGGTCATTGCTTTGCAATAAATCCTCAACCAGCGAAAAATATAGCCGAGATCATACACGCAGAACCTGTGGACGATAAATCCAAACCAGTTTCTGAGATCATTAAACTAGCGAATGATAAAGTTGATCCCGAGATTTCTTCTGACTTACTTGCAAACGATGAACTAAAAAACAGCAATGAAGAATCCAACACCCAATCGAAAACATACCCACTTGGATATATACCTCGGGAAGAAAGGGAGGCTCACCTCCGTTAAAAAGCTATTGAGCTTGGTGAAGATCCTGACAAATTCGTTACCATTACTGAAAAAGATAAGCTCGATTCCATAGCATTCCGTGATAGAATGCAGACTGATGCGAGAATGTGTGGCTATGCAAAGGAAGCCGAAGAAGATCCTAAAGAATATATGGATATGACAGTGCGAGAAAGATTGATAGGTGAAGAAATAATTCGACGCAGTCTTGAGAAAGATGGAATCACCTCATCATGGCTTGATACCGACAAGGAATGGAAAAAAACAATTAACATACTCCAAAAAAATGGTATGTTATGGTAATTGCTTAGTCGATAAGGAGCGGATAAGGTAAATTTTGCAGGTAGGAGCTTCGATATAGGAGATTTTTTGCTCCTACAAACTAGCTAATATAAAATTTTCCAATAAAAATATTACGCAAACTTTGTGTTATATACTGGTTTTTGTGATGCCTAAAATGATATTTGGTAAAATTTTAGTCAATACTTCATTCCTACTTTGATTTTAAATATGAAAATGATAATAGAATAGTATAACCACTTTGTGAATTGAAAATGCCTTGTAATTGGTTACTAGTCGGAGATATCCATTTATGTAAAAACCCAGCGAGAGGAGAATATTGCACCCCCCATGCATTTAAAATTCGAAAGGATATAATAATTCCCCAATCATATAAAGGGTGTGGGCGAGAGACTAAATTGAGTGTTTAGCTTTGTGTACCATGTGGACAAGGTAGGGAAAGAGCGTATAGATATTATAAACAGAAGAATGAAAAAGAAACTCTACTCACTTAATTTCTATATCTGTGAAGCAAATTATTAGATAAGTATTATTATTAATTTTTTCGTATATATTCCAGGTCTTTTAGAAATAACCAATTAAACTTATCATTTTTATAAGTAACAATTAACTATTATCATTTTCATAACTAGTAACTCCCAATGGAAACACCCCAGAAAGTAGTTAACTTATTAACCAAGAGAGAGATTGATCACAATGGGTCAACATTCCGCAGACTAATGCGCAATGGCTTCAGGTATGTAAAAGATTTAGCTGAATTTCTACAATTACCGGATAAAATAGATTATTATTATATAGAGCAGATGGACTTTTTATGTGCCCTATCCCATCTAGCTATGATACCACCGATTGATATAATGGAAAATAGACCCGATATTTACAAGAAATGGTCCATAAGTATAGAAACATATCGGAATCTATTTCAGTATTATAAAAAATAAAAATAAATCGTAAATCTTAATTTAGCCTGAATCGCAACTCCAAGGCTATAAATTTTTTTGTTATATCCTATATGTTAGTAAATTTAAAATCAACATACTACTCTTGCTTATGTAAGTACATAAACTCTTTTTTTCTAGGTATAGGAGGAAAAGCGTAATTAATTTTGATTTGAAAAATTAATTTTATAGTGAATATAATCTAAAGAATTGCTCATAAACTACTTGACCTACTATAAAATCTAACAATGTCAGCTATTGCAACAAAAATCGTTGAGA